TAATATTTAATTTCATACAAAGTGAACATGTCATTGTCACTCTTTCCACTAATCATCCATACCAAAATTTAGCTAAGCAAGAATAGCTTATTTACACCTCTGCTAAAAGAAAACAAATAGAAATAGTTCTAGGAAAAAAGATAGCTACAAGAAAAAAAACTATAGTTTCTTAGAACAAGATTTGATTTTACAAACAGTAGCAAACTGTACTCAAAGAAAACCTAAATTTTTTTCGACAAAAATTTGTGTTAAAAAAATTTTTTAGAATTTGGGGATCTGGTTAAAACCCTGTATTGTAGATCACCAAAACAAACAAAGTATACACGTTACAAAAACCTTTGTTTACAAACAAACAAGTAAACAAACATACACGTAACCTAATTTGGATAAGCAAACAAACAACAAAGTACCAAACAAAAACACGTGTGCTTATACATATCTACTACATATTCTAGACGATCCGAAATGAACTTGAATCAACATTCAGAGCATAAATAACAAATCAAAAAGCATAAGGATTAAATCGCTAAAAGATATGGCCACAGCCTCACAAGCAGAACTACAGGAAATTTTAAAGATTATAAACTATTTACGCTCAAAATGGACAAAAATATAGCAAAATACCTCGGATATAAAAATCCAGAATTTATTACAGCAATTCATGACACAATAGATAGCTACAAGTGGATTGAAATTAAAAAAGCACAAGGCAAAGAGCTCACAATTGAGGAGCATATTTTTACAGAAAATATAGCTAAAGTTACAACAAGTATAAAACAAAATAGGCAAAAAGAGGAGGCAGTGGAACTCGAAAATAACCAAAATATAAATACAGAAATAATCATTGACTCAGTAGAAAATTTTAAAAGAAAAAGAGATAGTGAAGATATCTCAGAAGCTCTTATTGCTAGGAAAAAAGAAGAAAGTACTAGAATCAGACTAGCAGAGATGAACCTAAACAAGAGTGAAATGGACATTCTAAAAGAAGACATCTCACCAAATACAGAAACAAAAGCAACTCTCTTATACACAGAATGTGGACATATAGATCATGGTACAGAAATAGTACAAGAGTGGATCTCACTAGCCAAAAAGAGAGAAGAAATATATAACGAAAACAAAGAGTCTGAAGTTGAAAAAAGAAAAGAGAATATATATAGCTCTATTTGGACACCAAAATCTAAACTATCTCAAAATAGACCAAGATTGAATAGTAAGGAGAGACTATACAAAAAGAAAAGAAATCTAAAACTTTATGCAATGATCTGGGATCTACCCTTTTCAGCTAATACTGCAAGAGTGAGAAGATATCTAAACCAATCTGGTAAAACTGAGATCAAAGAATGGTGCAATCTTAAAAATTCAAAAGTAGCATATGTCAAAATTGTGTACAGAAATGAAGAACAAAAGCAAAATTTGCAGAATGCTTGGGCAATACACTTTGAGAAAGGAAAAACAAGAAGATTCATACCAGATAGATTTGATGCAGAAAAGCTAAAAGACAAAAAAGAATACAGATTAGTATTAAAGAATATCCCAAACTCGGCACCTGAGGCTGTTCTACTCTGACAATTAAGAAGATTTAAAGCAAAAATAGTTTTCACACTTAAAAATAGAAACAACAACCCAAGAGGAAATGCTATAGTCTACTTTGCATCACTAGAAGATCTTCTAATAGCAAAAGAATTGACACTATACTACTTCCACAATAGGCTTGAATGGAGTAAAAATAAATGCTTTGAAGTAGCAAAAAGCATGATGAACAAAGAAAATCAAAACATACCTATTCGCAGACACAATAACAAAAGTAATAATATAGACTCCAAACAACAGAGAATCTACAACAAGTATAGTTACAAAACAAAGAGATCAACTAGCAATAGTAGTAAACAAGATAGCAGAGCGAATAGTAGTGTTAGATCACATAGCAATACTAGAAAACTGCTCATAAATTGTGAGAATAACAGAGAAGACAAACACAAATATACAACAAATACAGTAACAACTGGCTCAAACCGGATATTAGTAAGCAAAGAGAAAGGTAAACAAGTAGAAGTAGAAGAAAGTAAAAAAATTGAAAAGATCTTGGCAAAAATGCAAGAAAGATTCAGAACAATAGAGCAGTCGCTCGCAAATTGCTTCTAAAATTTGCCCCAGTTAAATCAAAATCTTTAGACAAGACAAAAGACCTCACCAATGTCTTGCAGAAGCCTAACATAGATAAAAATAGTAAGGGAACAATAGAAACAATAAACTACGAGTCACTAAAAATAGGTTTTCACAATATTAATGGGCTAAAATTAAATGAACAAAAGCTACTCACACTTGCAAACTGGGGTAAAGATAAAGAGTTAGACATAGTCAGTATCGCAGAGATAAATATAAATGGGGAAGAAGATAAATGGATAAAAACAACTCAACAAGGGTATATTAGCTTCTGGTCACCAAAAGAAGAAGATAAACACAAAGGATCTGAAGTAGGAGTGCTAGTGAATAAACAATGGTCAAAACATATAGGCAAAGTAGACAGATATAGTTCATATACACTCAAAATTAAACTCTTTTTTAAAAAAACAGTCATACAGGTCTGGATAATATACTTATCACTAGCTAATAAAAAAGCTAATAGAGAAACTCAACGAATATTAATCAGAGAGATATGTAGAAATAAGATCAACACGTATACTTGCATAATTGGTAATTTTAATGCTCTGAGTAATATAGACCTAGATACAAATAACAAAAATCATAAAAATCAAGGGCTTGGCAAAACTTTATTAGAATGGCTTAGAAACAAGGATTATATTGATACTTTTCAGTATCTAAATCCATATAAAAGAGAATACACCTGGCAAAAAGAAGAGTCCCTTTCAAGAATAGACTATATATGGTGTGGAGAAGAAATGAGTAGAATAATAGATGAAGTATCAGTAGAAGATATCGCTATATATACTGGTAGTGATCACAAATTAATCTGGGCAAAAATAAAAACAAAAATAATACTCAACTATAGAAACCTCTGAAAGGAAAAAAAGAAAAGCCTAACAAGAAAAATCTTCTTATACCATAAAGCTACAGAAGAAAACTGTGAGACATATAGTAAAAAAGTAGAACAACTATTAAAAAGTGAAGAAACAAACAACAAAGACCCCTACTGTAGTGAAACCAGTATCAACGAAAAATGGGACTTGATTAGTAAAGCAATTGTGCAAGCAGCATCTAAACATATCCCTTGGATTAACACCAAAAAGACAGAGACACAGGCTAAAAAGTCAATACCAAGATGCAAAATATACAAAGAGATCAAGCTTTTATATCAAATTCAAAAGAAAAAGTTGCAAGCACATGTTGCAGAAAGAATAAATAATATAGACCAAGCAAATTTCAACTCTCAAATTGAAGAGAAAAATCAAATATACCAAACACAAATTCGTCCACTACCAGAATACTGGAGCCAGGTAGATATAAATGAGCTTAAAAAGTTTTAAAAAAAAAGGTAGAAGAAGAAGAACGTAAAAATAAAGAACAAGAAATTAGTACTAGAATTGAGCAAAGATTTGGTATGATGAAGGAAAATAAGAAGAAGATGCTACAAAGTCTATTAAATAAACCATATAACAAAGTAACAATAGACAGAGTACTTAGAGAAGAAAGTACACATTACCAAAACCAAGAGCTCATCATTGATGAATTATTAGTTAAACAGCAAGTAACTGCACATTTCCAAAAACAATTTAAAAAAAGGAATCAAAAATTCAAAGAGATGGATTAAAAGTGGAAAAAAGAATACGAGCCAAAGAAAGATATTAACCCAGGTCTTTATAAAAACATAATGAGCCCAATTAGTGAAGAAGAGTGGACTCAAGCTCTTCGCAAAACACAAAACAAAACAGCTCCAGGGATATCTGGAATTAAATATATTCTACTTAAAAAAGTATCCCCCAAAGCAACCAAAATATTAGTACGCTTTGTATACTCCATCCTTGAATATGGCAAAATTCTAGAAAAATGGAAATTAGGGCAATTGTATTTAATTCCAAAAGGAAGTTTTTGGGAATATAACCTAAGCCACACTAGACCAATAGCTCTCTTGGAAACGTGCAAAAAAGTGCTAACAAGAATAATACAAGCAAGGCTAAACCAAGTACTAAGAGAAAACAATGTTCTAAAAGGCGCAAACTTTGCAGGTTTATCAGGGGAAAGTATAGCAGCCCCAATACATATTATGAACAATATAATAGAAGAAGCGACAGAAGAGCGCAAGGAGTTTTGGGTAGTATACCAGGATATGAAAAAAGCTTTTGATTCTGTAAGCATAGTAGCGCTAAGAAAAGCATTTGAAAGACTAAGATTCCCTACAAAACTCACAGACTTTATTACTCATCTGTATAAAAGAAGAAGATTTAGCATTATAACAGAATATGGCAATACTGAATTCTTTGAAGCTGGAGATGGTATAGATCAAGGAAAAGTACTCTCTCCCTTAGTTTGGAGAATATTCTATGACTCGCTTCTCTGTAAAGTTCAAGATGCCAAGCTGGGTTATAAAATGCAAATAAAAAGCTAAAAAATAAAAAAGGATAAGCTTCATATTGGGGTACTAGCTTATACAGACAACACAACATGGATAACTAGCACTCAAGAAAACATGCAAAAAACAATCAACATATCAGATGAATTCTACGAATTAAATGATATTAAAATAAACCCAAGCAAGACTGAACTGGTAGTCTTCTCATCAGGAAAGAAAAGAAATATAGATGAACATTTTGTTTGGGCAGGAACTCCAAGAACAAAAATTTTGGCTAAAAGCTACAAAGAATCAACACATTTTCTGGGAGTCTGGATTTCAGTAAGAAACCAACAAAAATCAGACATAGACAAAGCAAAAAAAGAAGTAAACAAGATCACAGGCTTACTCAAATACAAAAAAATATTACTCAGTCAAATAGTATATATAAATAATGCAGTACTCATACCTGCCTTGGAGTATTGTAATGTTAAACCCTGAGACTTGTGTATTGTAATAGCAAAAGCGGATATTATCAGATATTGTTGATGCCATGCTATTACTGTGCTTTCAGAATTATTATATAAAAACTTTTCCCATTTCAATATTATCTCATTTTCAATATTATCAAATTTAACCACAGGATCTAAATCTTGTGTAGTTATGAAATCCAGAATTTTACTTTCATCCATCCCATAAATCTTTTTATGAATTTTTGATCTAAATCCAACAATAACACTAAAGATACCATTTACAATACCCTTATTATTTTTATCATTAAAAATAGAAATAACTTTCATGCCAACTTTTAAATATAAAAGTTTTTCGGCTAAAACATTCTTATCTAGATATTCGATCAACTGTTTATATGAAGGTAGATCAAAATTCTTTTCTTTATCTTTAGCCACGCTCCAATTATTTGAATAAAATTTTAAAATTCCTTTTCCTTTTAAAGAATGTAACAGATTATAATTATATGATTTTGCAGCTTTCTTATCAGAAAATAACATCATTGGTTCGTATTTATCATCGTATTTTTTAATAACTCCATCATGTTTATTTCTAAAATGTCTTATTAAAGCCTCACTATTTCTAATATAGATAATTTCTTCACATAAATTACATTTTAATTTACTATCATTTTGAGTAAAGTAATCAATGATCTTTTCACATATCAAATCCCTTTGATGTATTTTAAGAAATCTGATTCGATAATTTCTAATCTTAATTTATTTAATCCATTTATCACAAACTCATCTGATTGTCTAATAACTTGTTTTAAAAGTATATGTTGTTGGAATGTTCGATTCCAAATTTCACTTAAAAAAACATACAACTTATAAGATCTTCTCTTGTCTCCTCTATTTGGAATAGGTAGTAATTAAAAAAAATTACCTGTTATGATTAACTGGACACTTCCAAACGGATTCTAATTTTCATGAATTTCTTGTAAAATTTCATTTATCAAATCAAACGCGTCACAACTTAATATGAATATCTTATCAATAATTAACACTTTAGTATAAATTATCTGATTTCAGAAAAAAGTATTACCTCTTATTTTATTAATAATATCATCCTTACTCTTATTCATAATACCAATATTAGAATAACTATGTATAGTTATACCATTAATATTCAACGCTACAATCGAAGTGCTAGCCGTTACCGCAACATTATATTTTTCTCAATATTTTAATTTTAATTCTTTAATAAGATATTTTAACAAATAACTCTTTCCAACTCCAGCAGAACCTGTGTAAAAAATCAATTCACCTTTTAAAACTATATCAACCACTTTTTTTTGTTCTTCTGTTAAGTTTACATTTTCAGTTTCAGTTTTGATTTTTTTTATTTTATTGTTATTATTAGATTTATATTCAATTTTTCGTTTATTCATGTTAATATAATAAAAGAATGAAAATAAAAAAAAGCACAGTTTGATAAATATGAAAAAAAAAAAATAAATATAAATAAATAATAAATTAATAAAATAATTTATAATTAAAATAAATTGTTATTCATTCTATTCATCATCCTTATCGTTTTAATAAATTCTTCAAAATCAGTTTGATTATCTAAACTATTCGAATTACTAATATTTAATGAAGTATTTAACAAATTCTGTTTATTTTCTTCAATAAAATAATTATTTTGTTCAAAAGGAACCAGTTTAAAATCTAAAAGTATTTTTCAATCTTCATTAATACTTTCACCGATGCTCGTTAATCCAATATTTTTAAACATTTCATTATTTGTTAATTCAATATTTTCAAACATTTCATTATTCATTAATCCAATATTTTCAAATATTTCATTATTCGTTAATTCAATATTTTCAAATATTTCATTATTTGTTAATTCAATATTTTCAAACATTTCATTATTCGTAACATTTTTATCAATTCGTTTTCTCAACTCTTCATTTTCAGTTTTAAATCGATCTAATTCTTCATCATGTTTGTTAATTCGGTTTTTCAATTCTTCGATCTCTATCATTATTTCCTTATCATGTTCAACAAATTCCTTATTAGCATCTTGATAATCTCTTAAATTTTTATCGAGTTTTTGTACTTCTTTATTCAATTCAGTTATTGTATCATTTAAATTTTGATTTTTGTTATTTAATATTTCATTACTTCTTTTCAAATCTTTAACTTGTTTTCGATAATCTTTTAATTCTTTTTGCATACGTTCATTTTCCAATTTCATTTTTTTCAACTCTTCATCAGTATATAAGCTTCATTTGTATATATTTCATATTGTTCTTCTAATGAATTCATATAACCTTGTAATCTATTCCGATGACGTCTTTGAGCTATTATATTTTTATTTTTTTTTCATTATTACCCAATGCTTTCGGTCTTCTTTCTGATCTTTTAATACCATTATATGCTAATCGAAGATTATCTTTATTATCAAAATATAATCTATCAACTATATAATAATTTGTATTTTTAACAATAACATGTTCTTTAAATTTTTGATATTGAATATTGTGATCTTTTAAATAATGCTCTATCAAATCATTCATATATTCTTTTATAATTAATTTATTATTATAATTAGATGAAAAATTATTTTGAAGATATTTTTTATCAATTTCATATTTGAAATTGCATTTTGGTTAAAAATATTTAAAAACGTTGGTGTGTTTTTTAAAAAGAAATAAATTAATTTTTTCTATTTTATTTAATAATTAAAATCAAATCAAAATTTAATCAAAAAATTTCAAATTTTCATATTTAAATAAAAAAATCTTAATACACAAAATATAAGCGAAAATACCAAAATAAATAAATTTAATCCATATACAAACTAGTACATTTGTAATTTTAATTGAGAATTAATAATTGTACTGTTTGTTTCTATTCTAAATGGTTTAATTCTAAAATTCTCAAAAAGCTTCTTGATTTTACAAGTACCACAAACCAATTTTTGATTACTAATAACATTACAGCATTCTTTACAAAGATTAAATAAATCTATTCCTAAAGAATTATGAACTTCTTTAAATGTATAAACATTATTAATGCCATCATAATATAAACAATCCATCTCTTGCTTTTTTTGTAATTTCTCGAATGAATCATTAAAATAATATATTTTCTTAATTTTGTAAATCATTCTTAAAACAGCAGAAAAATTTATTTCAACATCAGATAGATGCATTATATAATTCAACATAAATTGAAAATCCTTTTCATGAGTCAAAAAAGCAACCATATGAATATCATTACAAAATTCCTTATCACTATATCTATTACAAACTTTACATTTAAGTTTTTTAGGCTTTAATTCTTTGTTTTCAATACAAGTTCTTTGTGTGTAGCCATACACATGACAAAGATAACAGGGTAAATTTGGACAAAATACATTTATATGACCAAATTGTTTACAGTAATGACATTGAGTTTTTTGACAAAAAATAGTCTTGTGATTACCAGTAATTTTACACTTGTTACAATAAATAGCAGACTCCATGATTGCATTAATCAAATAATAAAACCAACTATTTTATATCATATAATTAATAATATATTATTTTTTAATTTGTATTTTATATGATATGATTTCTTAAATTCTAAATTTTATAAGTAGATCATTTCCTATAAAAATACTAATTTTTTATAAAAAAATCTAATTTTCAAAATGAATCCAAATCATCTCCCAATCGAATTGTTAATTATGATCTTTAAATTTATTTTTTCGGATAGGATAACCCTGTTCGATTATAATGAATATACACAAATCAAAATCGTATGCCAACATTGGAACAATATCTGTATTGAATATCTATCTAAAATCAGATACCATTTAATAAAAAAAATCGATTCTTATATTAGAAACAATCCAATTCAATTTATTCCTTACAAAATCAAAATAAAAAATAAAATCCCTATTAAATCTATTCATTCAAATAATGTTTGGATTTCTTTTAATTTTAAATTGGATAAAGAAGAAGTAGAACCGAAACATTATAAAAAAAAAATTAAAAAAAAATAAAGATAAATTTGAAGATGGGACATATTATATATAGCTACCAGAATATCAAAGATATGTATTCAAAGGAATTTTTTATTTTGTAAATTGTGAAAAAATTACCGATTCTTGGTTAAAACAAATATGTATGAAATGTAAAAATTTTACTTTTGTTAATCGTTTTATTAAACATTTAAATCCTGATAATTTTAAATATCTCAATAATAAATGTTTAAAAGATTGTAATAGATATTTGATTAGGTATAACAATATCAGATTAGAAGAACATACATTAGATTTATGTTTAAATTGTTATAATTGGTTTAAAAAAATTTAATCATCATTTATTTAAATATAAATTTAAAATATATAAATAATTTTTTTTTTTTTTTTTTTTTTAAAATTCAGCAGTCTTGCCTCTACTTTATTAGGCTTTATAATATTAATATTTTGAATATTAAAATTTTTTGCAAAGAGCTACTCCCTTTGCCACCTAAAATTACAAGTATCAGCTCACTCGGTTGCCTCTTGGGTACCTATATGCGACCTGCTATAGTAAGATTTTACTTCTGTGCTAACTTGCCCTGCAACTAGGTTCATTAGCACTTCATTGGATAGTTCTTACGGCCTGTCAAGACTACTAATTACTTTTCAACTATACTACATGTTGCCCACCTTTGATCCAACTTAAAATTTCCTTTTTTGCGACATCTATAATAGCACCCTAGCTTTTTCCTGCTTCTTCTTTCTTATTGCTCTTTTTATCGTGCTTGTTTGGGAAAGTTTCTTTTTTCCTTCCTTTCTTCTTCTTTAGCTTTTTCAAGTTGGTCTTTCTTTTTGCTTTTCGTGTTATACCGTCTGTCTTCTCCCAGTCTTGTACTAGTCTGCATCTTGCAACCCAGATCTCTTTATAAATTCTTCGCATCCAATTTTTCCAGAGCTTTATAATGAAATTGTCTGCTTGCTTGTTCGAATCGAAGGGTGGTCTTAGCTCGTCGTAGTCTTCTTTGGTAATAAGGCCTCTAATCCATCTTTCTCTTCTTCTTTGTTTTTCAACTAGGCTTTCTTTTCCCATCATTGCTAAGATCCACTTTTTCATCTCTCGTACGTTTACTGTCTCTTTGAATTCTATCAGGGTTGATTCAACTTCTTGTTCTTCTATTTCCTTTACTAGGTTTATTAATACTTTACAGCTAGCCAGATGCTCTACATTTTCTGTTTCTTTTTTGCATATAATACACTTGTCTGATGTATATAGATCCAGTTTTCTCTGCTTAAGCTTCTCTAATACTGGTAGCATATTGTTTATACATTTTAATTCAAATAGCTATAGTGTATTTGATTTGACATATAGTTTTGCTGTTTTATTCTGCTCTCTAGTATTTTATAAAAAACTGGCCAGTGCTGCAAACTTTTTCTTTCTTGGTATGTTTTATTCTAGCTACCGTGGAAGAAGGTCCACTCTACTCTATTTATAACTTTACCAATCATCTTGATGAAGGAACGTATTGGTTTTTCAATATTCTTATTCTCTCACTTGTACCTTAGCTTGAATTCTTTTGAGCACACTGCCATGGGTATGAAAAGTTCTGTAGAGTTTGCACCTTCTTTGGCTTTGATATTGGCCAAATCATTATAGAAATTACCTGAGTGGCCCTTAATTTTTGTAAGCTACAACTTAAGTTTTTTTGTCTTAATTATTTCTACTATCGTTACTACAAGTCCACTATTTTTGATTCTTAGCTATTGTCTAGCTTTGTCTGTTTTAAGGCCTCTTTCAATTGCTAATATTGCTACCTTACTGTCTATATTTATTTCAACTTTCCTTTCATTTGGCGTTATTAATAGTGCAACTAAAATTGCTGCCAACTCTGCTCTGGTTAAGGAGAACCATTTCTTGGTTGCAAGTGCTACTTGTTGTACTATTTGCCCTTTTTCAGAGACCTGTACTATTCCACAGCCCATTTGCTTTTTCCCTGTACTCTCTGAGGTCTCGAGTGAGCCATCTGTATAATATATTAAGCTATCTATTTTTCTATTTTGTTCTAGGCTAGTTATTAATCTATCTTTGACTATATCACTTTTTAC